ATTAAAAATTGTGCAAATGGCTTCAATAGACTTCTGAAAGAAGTCTATACAATAGACTTCAAACATATTTCTCCAGGGAAGACATACAAATGGTCAGTAAGCACAAGAAAAGCTTTGAAAACATTATGCTAAGTGAAAGAAGCCAGACACAAAGGGGCACAATATTGCAGGATTCTGCTTATAATGAGGTACCTAGAATAGGCAGATTCAGAGAGAAAGAAAGTAGAATAGAGATTACCAGGGCTGAGGATAATGGGGAGTTACTGGGCACAGTTTCTGTTTGGGATGATGAAAAATTCTAAAAATAGTGATGATTAACACCATTGAACTGTACAGCTAAAATGGTCAAAATGATAAATTTTATGTTATGCATATTTTACCAAAAATTGTTTTAAATCCCATAGCCTCAAAAAAAATTTTTTTTTTAATCTCATGGAGTCAATGCTTACCAGGGTATCATCATTCTGGTCTCCAAACATTTCTTTAAAAATCTTCCCAGGATCAGGAATTGGAGGGAATATAATGATCTTGAGCCTTTAAGAAAACAGAGACATTTTTGATCAAATCTTCTACCAAACAGGAGCATCTATTAAAAGAAGGGTTGGACAAAAGACATGGCACACAAATCTTTAGTGATAGAGCGGTTGTGAAGAAATTTCTAAAGCAATCTGAGAAATCAATGTCCAAAGAGCATCAAGATGGGTAGAGCAAAAGAGCTCTTAGGATAAACAGTCTACTTATATCTTATCATTTAAAATGTTTTGAGATATACCTGACAAAAATTGTATATATTTGAGGTATGCAACATGATGTTTTGATATATGTATACATTGTGAAATAATCACAATCAAGGTAATTAACATATCCATCATCTCATATAGTTATGATTGTGTGTGATACCCTATCATTTAAATAACAATAATGTTTTAGTTATCATAGACCAGATGGAAAGTTGCAGTTTATAATTTTGAAAATAATCTTCTGAGAACAGGGTACATTCCTATTTTTTCTTTTTTTTCTTTTTCTTACTTCTCAATTTTTAGATCTCTCCCTTAAATAAATCCCTAGATTAATGTATACAACTACCTATTTAACAGCTCTACTTGGATATCTAATAGGCGTCTCAAACTTATGTTCAAAACTGAAGTTCCCATCTTTACACTAAAGCTAGCTGTCCTCACAGTCTTCTCCACCTCAGTAAATGGCTCTAGCATTCACTCAGTTGCTGAAGCCAAAAATCTAAGAGTTATCCTTGAATAACCATTTTCCCCCACACCTTCACAGAGAAGCAGCCATCAGCTAGTGCTATCAATTCTACCTTCAAAATATATCTCACATCAGACCATTTCTTACTACCTCCATTGCCAACCACATAACCTAGGCTACCCTTGTCTTCCCCACCCCTGCCAACACTGCAATGCCTCCTAAACTACCTGCTTCCATTCTTGCCCATTCTTCACTCAACAACTACAGTGATCTTTCATGACAGTAAATCAGATCACATCCTTCCCTTGCTTAAAACTCTTCAATGTCTCCCCATCATGCTTAGGATAAAATCTCAATTCCCCACAATGGCCTACATGATCTGACCCTGGGATCCTCTCCAGCCTCATCTCCTGTCACTCGCTCCCTTGCACACACTGCTCCAACAAGACACAGGAAGATCATTCTAGCCTCGGAGCCTTTGAGCTTACTGTTCCCTTGGCCTGGAACATTCTTTCTCTGAATATCTCACTCCTTTAAAGTCTCTCCGTACATGTCATTTTCTCAGAGAGGCCTTCCCTGGCCATCCTATATAGCATGAGTCTCATCTCACTTCCTAGCTTTTCTTCCCACAAACCCCCAAAGCTTTACTACACGCTATGTGAAGTCATAGTATTTATTGTATATATATGTATGTGTATACATATATATATATATATATACACACACACACACATATATATATGTATATATATATGCTCTCATATATATATATATATATGACATAAATATAGACATAGATATATAGATAATCCCTCACACTAGAACATAGATAGGGACTATGTCCTGTTCACTTCTGTAACGCCAGCAATTAGGATAGTGACTAGCGCTCAAATGTATGTTGAACAACTATTAACATATGATAAAATATTGTTTCTGGGCCCAGCTAATAACTTTATTCCAACCATAGGTATTTACTGAAAGAGCAAATAATAGCAGAAGACCAGCCTCTATGGTGAGATAAAGTAAAGCATTTTCAAGGAATGAGTAACATATATCACAGACAGTCTGGTGAAGTTCTCTTTCCTACAGCATTAAGTAACAACCTACTTTGCATTCATACCATATGAGTAATTTAATTATTAATGGTATCCATTTCTAACAATGGTCTCCAACAGCTACCAACTGCTGATAAATTAGGCACATGCAAAGAGAGCAGTGCCTGAGCATAGCTCTGGGAAACACATCCAACAATTTCCACACCAGAAAATGGGCACGATAATACTTCTTTGCCATGATATACCACCAAAAGTCAGTTATAGCCCAAATACTTCTAATGTACTGGGCAAACATAAAACACCTGTGCAAAGAGTAATAACCACAGTAACCAGGCTAACAGAAACTGTCAAACGTGCCTGGATAGCTGCCTTACCTTTTTAGATAAAGCAGAAGGGCTATGATTGCACCTGCAACAATTACTGGAATGATGAGTAACATGATTATGTAGAACGTGGGATTGGCCTTCTTACCTAGAAAATGGAAAGCAAACAGAAAGATATGAGAAATATAACTTTTAGAAATAAACCAAGCAATAGCTCTATTAGACTAGTGAGGTCACAGATGTTTCTGCCCTCTACCCCAACCTATTTTCCAAAACTCTTCAATTATCCTATCTTCCATTATCTTAATAGTAAAAAAAAAAAAGCCCTGCTCTGGTGCCTAAAATTCCACGAGTGAATAAACATCTTAAGGATTATCTGAAACCAGGATATCTTAACTGGTTTTAGACACTATTAACAAAGATGTTATATCTGTTAAATACGTCATCTCATTAACAGTGACTATCATTTCCTATTGGTTACTTAATACAATTAGAACGCGTAAAATAATCCTAACAACTACCACTACTACTATTTTTAACTGAGCACCTACTATATGCCTGATACCATACTATGTGCTTTTATATGTTTTTATCTATGCTATAGAGATAGATATTTATCTCTCATTTATACAGTTGAAAAGGATAAGGCTCAGAGTGGTTCGCTGGCTTATCCAAAAGGGCTTAGTAAATGATGGAGTCAGGGCTCAAATCCAGCACTGTCTAATTCTAAAACATTTCATTAACTGCCTTGCTACACCTAATACATAGAATGTCATAGGTCTATTTATTTGCTTATCTTTTCCTCTAGGGCATGAACATCTAGGAAGCATCATCAGAGCCTAGCATCATTGTGTCAGGCAGCCTCTAAGATGACCCCAAATGATCCCTGCCTCCTGATATTCACAACCTTGTGTAATCCTCTCCCCTTGAGGGTGGACCGACTGAACTAACTGACTCGTTTGTAAAGAACTGGATAGCAACAGTGATATCATTTCCAAAATCAGGTTATAAAAGACTGTGGTTTTCATGTTGGGTATTCTCTCATACATGCTTTCTTGCTTGGATCACTCACTTGGGGAAGCCAGCTACTGCCATGTCATGAGGTAGCCCTGTGCAAGGAACTGAGGGAGGCTTCTGTATTAATTTTCTAGAACTGCTGTAACAAATCACCACATACTGGTTGGCTTAAAAAAACAGAAATATATTCTCTCATAGTTCTGGAGGCTAAAAGTCTAAAATCAAGGTATCAACAGAGCCTCTGAAGGTACTAGAGAAGAATCCCTCCTTGCCTCTTCCTAGCTTCTGGTGGTTCCCAGGAATCTTTGCTGTTCCTTGGCTTGCAACTGCATCACTCCAATCTCTGCCTCTATCTTCACATGGTCTTCCCTGTGTGTCTGTGTGTCTGTTTCTGTATGTCTTCTCTTATTATAAGAATACTAGTCATTGGATTTAGGGTCTGCACTAAACCAGTATGATCTCATTTCAATTGATTACATCTGCAAAACCTCTATTTCCAAATAAGGTCACATTTACGAGTACCAGGAGTTAGGACTTGAACATATCTTTTGAGGGGATACAATTCAACCTGCTATAGCCTCCATCCAGCAGCCAGAGAGGAACTGTGGCTTTCCAGTGACCACATTAGTAGTGAGCTTGAGCTTGGAAGTTGATTCTCCAGCCCCAGTCAAGCCTTCAGATGAGACAGTAGCACCAGCTGACAGTTTGACTGTAACCTCATGAGAGAACTTGAGCCAGAAGTACCTGCCTAGCTAAGCCATGCCCAGATTCATGAGCCACAGGAACTGTGAGATGGTAAATATGTATTTTTTAAGCCACTAAATTTGGGGGTAATTTGTTATACAACCATAGATAACTAATAAAACCATATTCAGCACATAGTTTGCTCAGTCTCTCAATTAATAGGGAACTGACTACCTTAACGACCTATCTCTCTGATTGTTAGACAGCTGTTAGAAAGTCCTTAAGTTGGTCCTATTTTGCTCCATGAAGCAACAAAAAAGATAGCCTATTCCCTCTTCTACCTGATAATACCTCAAATGTTGGAATTCAGCAATCATGACTCCTCAAGCTTACTTCATCAACTGTTACTCCCCAAATTTTGAGATTATTCAATACCCTGATTACCCTTTCAAGGATATATTCCAGTCTGCTGATGCAGCACATACAATGTGGTGCCCAGAATGAATACAGCACACTTCTGATGTGACCAGAACACTGCGCCCCAACCTGCAGCATTCCCTTGTTCTCGGTGCTGTACTATCACTGCTGCCTATGACTACATATGCCTTGGGGATGCTTAAGGGTCCAATATTGAGTCACTTCGAGTTTGCAGTCAAATAAAATCCTATACCCCAACCCACAACACACACATTCATAAAGCACAGATCTTTTCAATCCTATACTTGAGCCTGGCACATGGCTTATTCAGCCTCTCAATGTATAAATGAAACTGATTTTTTCAAACCTAGATACAGGTTTATGTCTATTAAATGCCATTAAGGGTCATTGTTCTACTCTTGATTCTGTCACCAGCATATAGGCTAGTCTTCTAAGCCTTGTATAATCTGCAGATTTAATTATGCCTGCCTTCTATATTTTTGTTCAGGTTGTTGAAAAAGATGGAGACAGAGCAGAAGAGAGGAAAACAGCATTTGGGTTGTGAATTTTTAGAACTGTATATTGCAAATTAATGCTGGGTGATATGACAGTAATTAAACAGAAAATAATTCAATTGTAATACTCTTTGATTGATATTAAGAATGCAGAACGGTCCTTTCTCCCCATCCTATGTTCTGCTTCAGCTTAGTTTCCATATATCAATGGTTTAAATTGTAATAAAATCCTCTTCTCTTACCTATACTCATCACTGGACTCCAATTACTCCAGAGTTTATCATCCTCGTAGCATAATTTATTTGTTTTGACTCTTATTCTGACTGTGTTCAAAGTATCAGGAAGAACACCAGGGACCCAGAAACAGATTGTACCCTTAGATATAAAATAAAAACACAAAAGGAATATTATCAGTTTTTTCTCTTTGCTTCTGAATCCTAAATATAATTATCTGCCAAATTCTATATATGATTAAGACTTGGATTATAATCCAAGTTATCTGACTTTAATTCCTGAAAAAAAAAATGGCAATAACACACAAAACAAAGTAGTTTGTTTTTCTCAAAGCAGTTCAAATTTAGGTTATGCTTGCCCTGCCCTACCCCCAATTATTCTTATGAGTTTAAGCCCAAATAGCTAAAATGAAATTTACTGACCTCCAGGTTTCCCTCAAATTCCAAATTATCACATTTAGGTTCTTCAACCTTGAAAATATAAAAAAAGAATAAATTCAAATTTAAAAAGGCCATACATACTTTACATTGTTCAACCATTTCTAACAAGGTTTCCTTTTATCCCATTAAAAGAGAACCAGGTGCAGTGAAAAAAGGTTGGTTTTTAAATAAATGGTTCTGAGTCAATTATATATCCATATGGGAAAAAGAATCTTGACCCCCCACCTCACACTATTTACAAAGTTAATTCCAGATGGACTGAGGATCAAAATGTGAAAGTTGAAATAAATGAACAAATAAATACATAAAGACAGCAAGCTTTTAGATGAAAAACACAGAACATCTTCAAGACCTTGAAGTGGGAAAAGATTTCTTAAATAGGACCAAACAATATTAACCATAAAAGAAAAATTTTTATAAAGTCACCTATATTAAAATTAAAAACTTCAGTTTATCAAAACATATCCTATTAAGGAAATTAAAAGACAAGGCATATAGTGAAAGAAGATATTTGCAATTTCTAACAAAGGACTTGTATACACATGTTATATAACATATATTTATATTTATACATAATACACACATATATACATATATCCTACAATTTAATAAGGAAAAGACAGAAAACCTAATTTAAAAACCAGGCAAAAGACTTGTATAGGCATTTTACAAGATGATATCCATATTGCCAATAAACATGAAAAAGTGTTCAACTTCATTAATCATCAGGGAAATGCAAATTAAATCCACAATATAATGATACACACATCTACCAGACAATACCAAGTGTTGGTGAGGGTGTGAAGGATCTAGCACTCTCAACTTCTATTCTTAATGGTGCAAATTAGCCCAACTACTTGGAAAAGTGGTATTATCCCCTATAGAGAATCAGATGTAACCCTGTGACCCATATATGCTCAAACTAAATGTATGCACATGTGCAACCAGAGGTAAGTATGCAAATGTTCATAAAAATTCTATTCATAAAAGTCTAAAATGGCAACTATCCAAATGTCCATTAATGGGAGAATGGATAAATCAAATGTGGTATATTGGCATGATGGAATGAATGTAATGAGAATGAACCATCTACAACCACAGGCAACAATATCAGTCAATCTCATAAACATAACACTGAATGAAAGAACACAGACACACAAAAAAGTAAATGCTCTATAATTCAATTATATGAAGTTTAAAAAGAGGCAACAAAACTAATCTATGGGATCATAAGTCAAGATAACAGTTGCTCTTTGGGAGGGTAGTGACCAAAGTCACGATGGTGTTTCTGGGGTGCTGGTTATATAAGTGAAAAATAATTTGTGAAATTACTTATGAAAAATTGTTGAACTCTATGTGATAATTTGTATAATTTTTCTATAGTACATTAATTGAAAGTTAAAAAAAAGAAATAGAGAGACCGATCTTCCTTGTAGAGAATATATCAAAAATGACTGCGTTACATAAAAGGAAGTATAATGCAAAATTCTCCTCCACACAATTTAAATCATTTGCTGTCTGATATAAAGAGATAATCAGTTCCTGAAATGCAAATATTTCAAAACTGAGTAAAAATAATCAACACATGAAAATCTGTTACCTAATCTACTTCTGGCCAAGAGACACATGAAAAGATGTTCAACATCACTAATCATCGGGGAAATGCAAATCAAAACCACAATAAGATATCTCATACCTGTTCAAATGGCTATCATCAAAAAGATAAGAGATAACAAATGTTGGAGATGGTATGGAGAAAAGGGAACCCTTGTATACTGTTGGTGGGAAAGTAAATTGATGCAGCCATTATGGAAAACAGTATGAAGATTCATCATAAAAGTTAAAATAGAAAAACCATATTATACAGCAATCTTACTTTGGGGTATATATCTAAAGGAAATGAAATCAGGATCTCGATGAGATATCTGCATTTCCATATTCACTGCAGCATTATTCACGATAGCCAAGATATGGAAGCAACCTGAGTATCAATCAATAGATGAATGGACAAAGAAGAGGTGGCACATATATACCACAGAATATTATTTGGCCATGAGAAAGAAGGAAATTCTGTCATGTGTGACAATATGGATGAAACTTGAGGGCATTATGCTAGGTGAAATAAGTCAGACAGAGAAAGATACATTCTATATGATCTCACTTATATGTGGAATTTTAAAAAGTCAAATTCATAGAGGCAGAGAGTAGAAAGGTGGTTGCCAGAGGCTGAAGATAGGGAAAATGGGAAGATGTTGGTCAAAGGGTACAAACTTACACATATAAGTTCTGAGGAACTAATGTCCAATATGGTGATTGTAGTTAATAATACTGTATTATTTACTTGAAATACCAAAAAAAAAGAAAAAAAGAAAGAAAAGGTTACTGTGTGAGGGAATGAATGTGTTAATTAACTTGAGTGTGGTTATCATTTCACAATGTATATGCATATTAAATCAACAAGTTGTATACCTTGAAAATAATCACATTGTATAAACTAAATATATACAATTTTAACTTGTCAATGATACCTCAACAAAGCTGGAAAAAATAGTCAGCTATCAAAGAAAGGTTTAAACATGGGTCATAGACCAGAACACATAACTATGAATTTTGGCATTCAATGTCATTCACTAAATGGTTTCTACAAGCATTTGTGAAGAGCTGAAAGGCCGACTGAATAGTGAAGGGCCATCCTATCAATACTTCATATAGGGGCAGAGAAAAAACCACTCAGGGGCTACTGTACCCCACTGCCGCCCATTTGGAATCAGAGGCCTGCTGAGAAGTCACAAGTGTCAACTAGTACTTGAGCAATAGGGTTGTAGGCTGATGTCCTCCTTCCCCTGGACCATCTCCTATATATAAAATTTTTTTTTAATATTCCAAAGTCAGCAAATCATTGTGTCAGTTGAAGGCTCTGGGAATTTGTTTAAATGTAAAGCCTCTTGGTTTATTCATCAGAGGCTCAGATACCTCTGTGAAAAAAGGAAAACAAGAGCACAGAGCACCAAGTAGACCATTTGCAGGGATGGGGTTGGTCAAGTAATTCCTTACTTTATGATTCTGTTATGAGCGACCTCTGACCACAGCCTCCATGTGATGGTACCAGTTCAAGTTCCAGCCTATTTCCCCCTCTTAACTAGAATACCAGGCAAAATAATTCCTCAAAAAGTTTAGCAAAAAGACAAAAAAAGGGTCTAACCAGCAGAGCTCAAGATCGGTGAGCACACATAAAGCTGATGACATTCTAGGGGAGGAAGCATCTGGTAACCATCAGCTAGGAGAGAGAACATTAAACTCAAGTGTATAAACAGAGTTAATTCCACATAGACTATAGTTCTAACTTAGGTGGATAAATTCCATAGTATGTGTGTTCTCTTTGGTTCAGAAATTTGTAAAAATGGTAACTCAATTCAACAAAAATTTATTAAGTGATGACTAAGCAAAGGGTGGTATATCAGATATTCTTGATCAAAGTTTAATACATGGAAACCAACCTTTGAAGTCATATTTATTAGCTGTGTGGCCTATAGTAGGTTACTTAACCTCTCTGAGCCTTAGTTTCTCAATAAAATGTAACCTTTTTCATGAATTATTATGAGCTACTTTATAAGACGTACACAAAAGAATATATTTGTAGCATATCATAAACAATAAATGATGGCTATTATTAAGAGGAAGTACTGAGGTGGTCCTCAGTGGTTAAGAACAAATGCACTAGAGTTAGACTTTTGCTGAAATTTTGACTCTACCACTTTCTAGAAATGTGATCTTAGAAGTAACCTCTGAGACTGAGTTTTCTCACCTGTAAAATGGGGACAAAATGACGGGATCTAGATCTTTAAGGTTTTTAATGCTTATTAAAATACCTACATAGTAGTAGTTTAATGCATGTTAGCTGCTATTAATAGCAGGAACAGCACAAAGTAAATACTACCTAACTCCTCCCTATAGGAGCTTATATTTTTAGTGGAGAGAAAAGGCCTACACATGTGGTCAGGGTATCTAGCAGGACGTAATTCAGTGCCAAATGAGTAATACCAGCAGCATGTGTCTCAGGATTTGACAGAAAAGAACAGTAAAGGCTGGAGTAGTCAAGTATATTTCAGCTTTCTGATAGCTCACTTAGTTGGAAATCCAAGCTGCACCCCTTCCTCATTTGGAAGTCCTTTGCTTTTTCCCTTTGCAATACTATATGGGGACACCAGTTTCTGGTCCACATCATGGTTATTCTATTTCAGAAACAGATTCGTCTGCAAATGCCCAGAAGAGCTCTGCTCAGCTGTAGACCTGGTCACTCCTTCTGGAGTTACAGCCTGTCAACACTGGCTTATTTTAGAAAGCACAGATGCTCCTCAACTTATGATGGGAGTGTGTACCAATAAACCCTTTGTAAATGGAAAATATCATAAATTGAAAATTCATTTAATATACCTAACCTACCAAACATCATAGCTTAGCCTAGCCCACCTTAACATGCTCAGAACACTTACATTAGCCTACAGTTGGGCAAATCTAATACAAAGTCTATTTTAGATTAAAGTATTGAATATCTCATATAATTTATTGAACACTGTACTGAAAGTGAAAAACAGAATGGTTGTATGGGTCCTCACTATTAATGCACACAGCTGAAAGCACACTGGGCCTGATGAATGTTTGAAGCATGTAACTAAAATTAATTACACACGAGAGAGTATCGTACTACATATTGCTAGTCCAGGAAAAGATCAAAATTCAAAATTTGAAGTATGGCTTTTACTGAATGCTTATCACTTTCACAACATCATAAAGTTGCAAAATCATAAGTTGAAACATGGTAAGTTGGGGACCATCTATATTGTGAAACTCCCACGATGAGCTAAGACAACTGAGCCAAGGAATTTGCCTACCTGTGAGATGCTGGGCTTCTTTAAAAGCCAATATAAAACACTTGGTTTCTAACCTCTAAAACTCAAGTGCATACAAGGCCCAGGCAGGTGGCACACAAGTGAATGGCACAATCCCTGTGGTGTTGAGGCGCCACCTTATGGAAACTACACTCCTCAGGTACCACAGTTTTAAATCTGGGCAAAAAATTGAAATTTAATAAACAAACAAAACCCCACTTCATGGTCCATACAAAAATGTTTGAGGTCCGATTTGTAACCTCTAAAGTGTAACAATGAAACTGATGCCCTGAGGTTATGTCACATCCTGTTATGCCCCATGTTTTGTATTAGATTCCAAATAGCAGAACTGTATATAATCCAACCGATACTGACTACTCAAATTTGACTACTTCAGTTGCCACAAACTCCAAGAAAACTGAATGGCCATACCAGGGCCTCCAAATATCTACCTGATCTGACCCTAGTCTCATACTTAGACATTTTTTCCTAATATATTTAGGCCGCACCAGTTTCCGTTTCTCACACACATCGTGTTCATTCCTGCCTCAGTCTTTGTACTTGCTGTCTCATCCAACCCCTGATCTTCACATGACTAGCTTCTGCTCATCATTCTGGTCTCATCTCAAATGTCATCACTCAGGATGACTAGCCTACCCAGTATTCTCTTAAGCCCTCCCATCACTCTACTACATCCCCCTGTTTAATTATCTTCATAGTATCCATTCTCTGAAATTAGCTTGCTCATTTACGTACTTTTCTAGTAGGTAAGCTTCATGGAAAAAAATTTTGTCAGGTGTCGCATGCCTGACACATGGTAGACACATAATAAAAATTTGTTGAGCAAATGCATTAATGTAGAGTTTGAATCTTGCAGTCAGTACTATCTATCATAAAACCTCAAACTTTCCACCACCCTATTTCAGACAAGAAGTTTCATCATCATCATGTGCCAAATCCAAAGTATCATTTCACTGATACTTTATTACACTGTAAGAAATTCAAGGGAAAGAAAAATATTCAAATAAAAATGATAAAAAAAAAACTTACGGATAAAATATAATGTGTCTCTGTTTGGCTGTTATTGACTTCTATTTGATAAGATAAGCATCTGCTAACAAAATTCTGTGGAGTCTTCCCTAGCACGTACAAGTCACCATGTTGAAAAAAGAGATTTTTAATATGTGGAGGATCAGGTTGCACTGAAAGATAGAAACAGATGAATATAAATTAGCTTCCAGAGTTTATTTTAATGAGATATGTATATGGGCAGAGATAAAGAAGGTCACAAAGTTAAATCAAAATAGGACTGATACTTTTAATGGACTTACATGATCAGATATATAGTTCTAGATTTCTGATTAACCACGATTAATGTAGGAAGCTTATTCTAAACTGCTAGAAAAATGGATCTAAGGAACATCTTTGGGTTGCTGGCAGGTGACAGGAACTCTGACCTGCATCAGGTTAGAACATGATCAGGACATCCACAGCTGCAACACAGAGAATAAAGAAAAGAAGTGCTTGGGTCCAGATGTGCCTCCACCTGATGGGTAACAAGAGGCACCAGGTACAAGGGGTTTTCTCAGCTGTCACTCATTTGTGCCAGTAAAAGATCACAATTAAAACATTAGCCTAGTCTCTGTCACATGCTACAACATAGGTGAACCTCAAGGACATTATGCTAAGTGAAATAAGCCTATCACAAAAAAGACAAGTATTATATGATTCCACTCATATGAGGTATCTAAAGCAGTCAAAATCATAGAAACAGAAAGTAAGAAAGTGGTTATCAAGAGCTAGGGGAAGTGTAAAGGGAGACTAGTGTTTTTGGACACCAAGTTTCATTTTTACAAGATGAAAAATGTTCTAGAGAGCTGCACAACAATGTGAATATACTTAACACTACTGAATAGTACACTTAAAAATGGTTAAGATGTTAAGTTTAATGTTATGTAATTATAACCATAATTTAAAATAAAGCAAAAAATTAGCTTAATAAATTTAGTTTTTTTGGAAGTCAACTATGCTTACGACCATGTCAAGAGAAGAAAATGGATAATTAACAGAAAATAACTTGAAGACGTCATCTAGCTGAGAAAGATCTCCTTTTATGTCACCACTCATCTCTGGGAAGAAAAGTAGCAAAATGAGCTTTAAAAGGTCTCTCAAGGACAACTTGCCAAGCAAGGGAGAGGAGGGCTTTGCTTCAGGTGATCCCACTTGGCAAGTTACTGAGACCTCACTCTCCCGGCCTACAAACTAAGCTGCCTTTGTTCACTATTAGAATTTACTTCCATGACTATCTGAAAAGGCAGTAAATAGTGCTTTGCTCACAGACTTGGGAGCCTTTGTCAATTCATGATTATTTGCCTATACATTTTCTGTATACCATTTAGCCAGAACCTGAGATCCCTGTTGGGGTATTACGATAGATAAATAAACATGATACTTATAGTAGTTTGCTTTAGAGATTTACAAAACACTTTTATACACCTCACATCATTTATACCTTACTACAGTTGACCCTCGAACAACATTTGGATTAGGGGAGCCGACTCCCTACTCAGTCACAAATCCACATATAACTTTTGACTCCCCCAAAACTTAACTACTAACAGCCTACTATTGACCAGAAGCCTTCCCAATAATATAAACAGTCAATTAATGCATATTTTGTATGTTATATGTATTATATACTGTACTCACAATAAAGTAAGCTAGAGAAAAGAAAATGTTATTTAAAAAATCACACAGAAGAAAAAATGCATTTACCGTTTTTCACTTTCAGTATAGTATTCAAACCTGTGTTGTTCAAGGGTCAACTGTACAATCCCTTGATGTAAAGAGGGACTATGTAGCCCATTTTACAGATAAGTAAAAAATACTTAACAAGAGTATATGCCTTGTCCAAAGTGAAGAAGCTACGACCTTTGTTTTCAAGTGGAGGGCTCTTTCTAATAGCTGATTCTTGGCTGCACTGGCCTTTCTGATTGATCAGTGCCTGGGCCACCCAGAATGTTAGATAATTTGAATATCAACCCAATCACTCCACCTCCAATTTAAGCTTTTTTTCTTTTAACCAAAAGGTAGATTATTCAGGGAGTATATTTGATTATATTTATTCTATAGCATCATCCTGCAGATGATGTATTATTAGTATAAGAGAGTACATCTTAAGAGTCAGAGACCCTGAGTTCCAATCTTGGTTCTATAATTGCCTGCTCTCAGTTTCAGCTTATTCATGAATAAACAAGGAGAAAGCATGTGGCACATGAGGTTAATATTAAAAGTTCCAAGCTTGGTACTTTAAAAAAGATCAAAGAAAGGTATAGAAACTGTTTTGTTTGTTTGTTTGTTTGTTTGTTTGTTTTTGTCTGGAAAGACCTTAAAACCACCAAAATCATCATTTTTTTTTTATTATTTGTATTGATTGCTCTAAAGACCTAACACTTTATCCACACTGGCAAAGAGGATTTCTAAAACTTACCATGAGAAGTTAAAGGCACTATGTTGAAGGATGGTCTAATTTTTCCTACATTATCCTTGACCATCACTTGGACACTGTGTTGGTCGAAATTGGAATCCTTCGATTTAGTCAGAGTAAAGGAACAACCAATGTGTTGACCTTCTTTATAGATATTTTCACATTGAAGAATTTTTCCCAGGCTGCTATGCCTACAAGATAAAATGAGACAATCTTCTGCATTATTTTTAACAAGATATTCAAAAAACAAAGGCAGAAATATTTTTGTTGTTTTGTTTTGTTTTTAAATACTGACGATGTCCATGAAAAGCGATGTTTGCAACATGTCAAGATAGCTTTTTCTAGAACTCTATTTTATGTGGCTCTATTTCATACTCTAGAAAGAAATAAATATTCCTTTTTTATGAACACTGGTACTTCCAATAGCTATGGAAAGTATAGGGGTCCTGACTCTTTTTCCTCTTTTGTATATGAGATGTTATGAGGCCAGGATGAGAAGTTTTATGCTTCTTAAACATATCCCATCTGCTGAATTCCATGGTTCTCTTCTGGTTCCTCTGTCTGTTCCTTCTTTGTTTTGTCTTGTTCCTCTCCCTTCTCCTCTTCTCAGAGGGTTCCCATCCAGTCCTCAGCTCTCTGCACATTTCTATTTCTTACTCCGTCATCTGTTCACCCACAGCTTATCACTTCCATCTCTTGACTAGAATTTCTACACTGGGGATACCCAGTCCTGACCTCTCACCTTCGATCCAGTCTCAGACTTCCAACTGCTCCATCTGAGTGTTCTATCTTGCCTCAAATTCAATGTCCAAAACACATGCCTCCTCTCCCATGACAAACTGCCTTTTCTACTAACCTTCTCAATTTCCATCAGAGTTCATTTTCTCTGGGCTCCTTGATTAGAGCCTTTGAAATTGCCTTTCCTCCTCTCCTTTCCCTATAGTCTATCACCAAATTTTGTTATTTCTTCCTTTATAAAGCTTCTTGGATTCTCTCCTGTGAAATTTCCATTGCCCTCACCCTGTTTCATGTCCTAATCACTTCAGGCTTCATGTTTTCTCCAGATTGACCTCTTGGACCTTCATTATCAGTTCCCTCTAATCACTGCCAGATCAAAGTTCCAGAACACACTAAGTGTCTTACTTCTAAGTGTGGCTTTAAATGCCTTCCATAACTAGTACTGTTGGTATCTTATTTTCCATTTTGAAAACTTCTACATATACCTTTCCCCAGTGATCATCAGCACCTGGCACAGTACAGGCAGACAGAATGTGTTCATTACACTTTTTCGTCTAGACTATTAAAGGACTCTTTTATAGTAACCAGCAGAAGACACAGTCAAGCCTTACATCATCAGCCACAGTGGGAACTGTGCAGAAGTTCTCCAGAAAAAGGGAAATGATCTAAAAAATTAACTAAGAGTAAAGAGTCCCAAACCCTTGATCTGTTACCTCAGAATCACCTGTAGTCATTTAAAATGCAGATTCCTCAAATCCTCTTCCAGAAGATCCTACTTAGAAGGCTTTGCCCATGACTTAGGAATCGGCATTTTGACAGCAATTCTCCAGGAGATTCTGCTGCAAATCGGGCTATATAAAACTCAGATCTACTCCCACAAATACAGTCAACTGGTCTTTGACAAAGGAGCAAAGGCAATACAAGGGAGCAAAGATAGTCTTTTCAACAAATTGTGCTGGAACAACCGGACATTCACATGCAAAAAAAATAAATCTAGACCTTATATTATTCACAAAAATAAACTCAAAATGGATCACACACCTAAATTCGGGACGTGAAACTATAAAACTCCTAGGATATAAAATAGGAGAAAACCTATATGAACTTGGGTATAATAATGAATTTTTAGATATGACACCAAAGGTATGATCTATAAAAGAAATAATAAGCTAGACTTCATTAAAATTAGAAACTTCTGCTCTGCAAAAGACAATATCAAGAGAGTAAGAAAACAAGCCACAAACCTCCAAAAAATATTTGCAAAAGACACAGCTGATAAAGGACTATTATCCAAAATATACAAAGAACTCTTAAAACTCAACAATAACAACTCAACTAAAGAAATGGGTCAAAGATCTTCAGACACCTCACTAAAGAAGATATACAGATGACAAATAAGCATATAAAAAGATGCTCCACATCATGTCATCAGGGAAATGCAAATAAAAGCAACAAAATATACCACTACACACCTATCAGATGATCCCAATCCAGATGTTGACAACACCAAACGCTGGTGAAGATGTGGAACAACAGGAACTCTCATTGCTGGTGCAAATGCAAAAATGGTACAGCCACTTTGGAAGACATTTTGGCAGTTTCTTACAAAATTGACCATACTCTCACCATACAATCCAGCAATCACATTCCTTGATATTTACCTTTAGGAGCTGAAAACTTTTGTCCACAAAAACCTTCATACAAATGTTTATAGCCACTTTATTTGTCACTGCCAGAGCCTGGAAGCAACCAAGATATTCTTCAGTGGGTGAATGGAAAATAAACTGTGGTACATCCAGACAATGGAACATTATTTAGCCCTCAGAAGAAATGAGCAATCAAGCCAGGAAAATACATGAAGGAAACTTAGATGCATATTACTAAGTGAAAGAAGACAATCTGAAAAGGCCACATACTGTATGATTCCAACTATACGACAATCTGGAAAAGGTAAAACTATGGAGACAAATATCAGTGGTTGTCAGGGGTTAGGGTTGGGGAATGGTATGAATAGGCAGAGAACAAAGAATTTTTAAAGCAGTGATACTGCATGATACTATAATTGTGGATACGTGTCGATTTACGTGTGTCCAAACCTATGTATTGTACAACAGCAAGAGTGAACCCTAAGGTAAACTATGGACTTTGGGTGATAATGATATTTCAATGTAGGTTCACCCTTGGTATGTAAAACTCTGCTGGGGGATGCTGTTAATGCGGGAAGCTATACATGAGTGGGGACAGGGCTATATGGGAAATCTCTGTATCTTCCTCTCAATTTTGCTGTAAACATAGAACTGCTCCCCAAAAAAGCCTTAAAAAAAAGAAAAGAAAAATTCAGATCGAATATGTTTAATCCTTCGAAGGCTGTGCAAAGAAATGTTTCAATGTAGAAAATGCTTTTGTCTATTAAGAAATAGTACATAAGATTTTTCTCCTAGTTGTAGGCCCCATTGGTTCATGAATGAAAACAGTCTTTTAAAAAATAAGTTACCGCTTTGGCTAGTTTTTAGATCAGACAGGCCTGGAATGTTTTCTGTCGACAGCCAGAAACAGAAACTGAAGACACTTATGACATTTTTGTTATATAACAAAACAATGTAGATAATTTTTGTTTCAAATAATGAAAGGAAATCCTCTAATGGGCAGTCTTTGAGATCCCTTTTTCATTTTTGGACCCTGAGTATTTTACATATTCTCATAGACCCCAGATACAAACTTAAAAAAATTTTTTTTGTTGTAATTTAGAACAAATAAGAAAAGGGAAAATATTGGTTTTGAATAGATGATATTTTGGGACTTGTGAAAGTTTGGATAACCTAAGATAGACAGCATTCAGGTGCTTCCTATTAAAATTCACACACTGAAATCCTCCAGACTCACAATGCAGACATAAGGAGGAAATGGGCAAAGGAAAGACTATTTCCCAAACTCTGAAGATGATTAATGTGGTAAGAAAGTACCTAAAATTCATTGGCATGACTAGTCTGTAGCTATTAGGATCAGGCTCCTCCAATGCCAGACTATTGCTATAGTGCCACTAGTCACTGCCCTGGAACATCAAAATGACACTACATTTTTTGATTGGGGATTAGGGGAACAACTGGCAGTTTGACATAATTTAAACTTGTACATAAATCAATTCCAAGTGTCTGGTAATGAATGAACCATGTGTCTCCCTTTCTTTTGTGGTTTTGATTGGAAAGAATCTCTCTAGGGGAGAGCAGAGGAGGAGGAAGTATGGGCTATGTGCTAATCCTGCAAGGTGGGGGAAAAGGCTTGAAATTTATAGTGGCTACATCTGCAAGGGAGTGGGAATGAATAATAAAAAACAATATAACTATCATGTACTGAGTGCTTACTCTACACGTTAATGGTTAGGCATGATTCTAAACACTTTTATACAATAGCAGCCCTCACAACAACCTTAAGAAGTAGTACTATTATTACTACTCCCATTTTACAGATTATAAAAAATAAGTCTCAGAAATAAGGTACTTGCCCCAAATCACACTTTAACCGGGATTTGAACCCAGGCAGTGTGGCTCCAGAAAAGAATAAGCTACAGGATGGTGAGGGCAGAAGATACAGACTCTTTATCAGCACTGTCCAACAAAATTTTCTGGGATTATGGAAATGTTTGATATTTGTGCTGTCTAATACAGGAGTCGCTAGTCACATGTGAAATTGGCTAGTAAGACTGAGCAACTTAAGTTTTAATTTGCTTTAATATTGATTGATTTAAATTAAAATATAAATAGTCACATGTGGTTCGTGACTCCTATATTGGACAGCACAGGTCGACGCTACACAAGAGTTCACACTGCTGACCAACTCTGGTAATGTGTATGACAAGAAGTGCTATCCCTGATCGTTTTCCCCTTGGGTGCCAGTGAACCACCACTCTCTTGGGATGACCTCTTGCAGCACCTCCAATGATGGTAGATTGTGCTCTGCACAAAGGCATCAACTGAGGGCTGAAAGCCAGCCCAAGCACCGTCTGCTGTCAGCTTTGGCAAGACACGACATCAGCTTAGAGGAGGAAGAATACTTCAAGTCAGAGAAAGAAAACTGCTATTTCAAATAGGTCAGTCCAGTTTTTTTGTAATTTATTTATGGATGGGGGAGGCCTGACCCTTTTGCAATTTGCTCTAAGACTTGGTTTGTGCTAGTGTATGTCCCAAGGCACTTTCCTATTTTTGCATTATAAGAACTCCGAGGGCTAGGCCACCATCCACCTCTAGTGTCACCGGGATTCCTATATCTGGGTTACTTTCCTGAGCAGTCTGCCATGGAATAAGACACAGTTTTAAGACTTCTTTCCTTTTCTTCCCTGTCCACTCTATAGACATAGACTCTTTAAAGGTCTTCCCTGTGATTTTACCATAAATGACTCCAGGGAAAGCAAGAGGGTTTAATAGCATAATAAACATAAGGATGCTACCAACTTTAAGAATCTCTTAAAAGCCTGTAGTAACAGCTCTCTGTGGACTTCACTGCAATATCATCAGAGCCAGGCTACTCTTTTTAAGGTGTCGTTCTCTGGCCCCTTCACTAGCAATTATTTGGGAAGTCAGAGCAACTCAATTCTCCTCTCTTTTTATTCCTGAACTATAATGCTCCTGAATTGATTATCCCTAAGTCCTCACCCAAGTTCCAAATATTCTCTGGCTTTGGATCCTACCATTTGAAACTTATTTATGGAGCACCTGCCATGTGTCAGGCATTAGGGAAAACAAGACACAGATCCTGCTCTCAAGGGAAACTGCAGTCTGGGGAGGGCTACCACTAAGTAAACAGGAAATGACAACACAATGTGCTTAGTACTGTCACAGGAAAGTGCAAGGTACCATGGGACACAACAATGATGGGGCCTCCATCTAGACCCGAGAGGTCAAGGAAGGCTTTCTGGAGAAGAAGTGATGTCTGAGCTAAGATAAGGACAAATAAGAGGCATCAAGGGGACAAGGCAAGACATGGGCTGCAAGGGAACATAGAATGGTTCCACTCTTCTGTTTGAATTCCATTATTCTGTTTGAGGGTTTGAAGAGTCGGTTTGAGGAACTGAAAGCAGTGTGGGCTGGATGGTAGGGTACAAGACGGGTGGGGATGTACATGGAGGGAGATGAGACTAAGCTAGAGAGACTGACAGGAGCTAGGCCATAAAGGGCTTTGCCTGTCATGCTGAAGGTTTGGACTTTATCCCAAAGCCACCAGGAAGCCACTGAAGAAGGTTTTAAGGAAAGGCAAAACAACAGGTACCACAGGTGTGCAAGTGACATTACAAAACCTCAAAAGAGAATGATTTATGTAAGAAAAAAAACATTCCACACTCAACCACACAATCTCAGTGCTGTCTGGATTCACCTGCAGGGCTTTTCAACTTTGCCAAGAGTATCCTGTGGTACAAGTGAATGCAAACACCCAGGTAACTTTGGAGGTTTTCATTCGGGAATTCATGTGACTTTTGCATTCTATTCTATGACTTAGCCATGAGTTTTTAATATACCAAAAATAATTTTCATCAAGTCATCAGGCAAAATGGACACTCCAGGATGAAAGGCCATGTTTACCTTATAGCTTCAGAAGTCCTGGACATGGTCCTCCACACTCCATTCTCTCAGAAGTGTTTTGAATGAACAAGAGAAAGAGGAACAAGGCCATGTGGAGAGCAGATTGCTAACACTAGATATCCCACTTTACCAGCCTGCCAAAATATCCCCATTCCTCACAATACTCCTAAATGCCAGGCTCTGAGAAAACCCACATCTGTGCTATTCACCCCTTCATCAAAGCCTCACAGCCTCCCCCTGCCACACTACCCTAAGCTCAACACTAGCTTCTCACAAGTTTGTCTATACTTCTGCAACAGCCTTCATCATACACTCTTCTTTTTATATAGGTAATTGTGTTGAGCTCTGTCTCCCTTTCTACATTTTAAGCTTTAGGAACATAGAGACATGTTTCTTATCTCAGTTGCTTATTCAGTGCTTTATCCACAATGTGTGCTAATTAAAGTTTTATTGAATTGAATTGATTAACTTGGTCTTTTCTTCCTTGTTCTGTTGACAATAATTCTAGGCTCTAAAGGAAAGGAAACGATTAAAGATTAGTTTTAAAATTTAATAAATTTTGTAGCTATAGTCACAGATATCAAATAGAAGTTATTTTATGGGGAGCTAAATTACTTTTCAACCCTGGGCATGGTATAATTTTCCTTTTTTAAGGCAGACACCCATGACTCTTACAGAGCTGGTGGGAATGTAAATTAGTACAGCCACTCTAGACAACAGTTTGGCAGTTTGTTATAAAACTAAATATGCAATTACCATATGACCCAGAAAATGTATTCTTGGGCATTATTCCAGAGAAATGAAAAGTTATGTTTACATAAAAACCTCAACACAGGTATTTATAGCAGTTTCATTAATAATAACAAAAAAAGTAAAATAACCAAGGTATCCTTCGATGAATGAAAGTTTAAACAAACTGGTATAACCATATCATGGAATACTACTCATCAATAAAAAGGAATGAACTATTGATACATACAACAACTTGGATGAATCTTAAGGGTATTAATCAGAGTTAAAAAAATGTGCTGTATCATTCCATTCCAGTAACATTCTTAAAACGACAAAATTATAGAGATGAAGACATGATTTGTGGTTGCTAGAGGTTAGAGACTTAGGGAAGAGGAGGAGGAGAAAGATGCAGAGGGGGAGGGGGTATAGAGGGGAGGTGGGAATGGTTATAAAAGGGCAACTCAAAGAATCCCTGTGGTAATGGAACTATTTTATATCTACACATGTGATAAAACTGCCTAGAACTACACACACATACACATACACACACAAATGAGTGCATGTAACACTGGTAGAAGTTGAATAAGGTTGGTGGATTGTACAAACACCAATTTTCTGATTTTGATATCATACTCTAGTTATACAAGATATTACCATTGGGAGAAGCTGGGTGAAGGGTATATGGGATCTCCCTATACATTTTTTGTAACATCTCGTGCATCTATAATTATTTGTAATTTTTTTTAAAAAAGTAGTCCCCCAAAGTAGATGCATTTTCCACTGAAACAAACTGCCCATCTTCTTGGGTGTGCCAAAAATAGGCTGTTCTTTTTTTTTAACTAGGTCATATCCAAAGGCTCCCAACACCATCACAATCAGTCCTTCTCCTGTAAGTCTCCTGTCCATACTCACCAGTAGTAGAGGGTATAGTTAGTGTCAGGACTTGTGTTCCTTCCAGGGAGCCAAGTACACTTCATGTAGCTCAGGTTGTGCCAAACACATTGTAGCTCAGTCACAGCTGACTCTGGATCACCTAGAATGCCAGACAAGAGTTTAAGACCCTTCTTTCCTTGTATGGCATACTAGCCAGTCACTCTGGGCATGGGGATGAGGAGAGTGTTTCATGATGCTTTACCCAAATCTAAAATGTTCACAACTTTCTCTCTCACTTCCTGATACTCAGAAAACATCTTTATCATCATGGAGGGGACTCTAACTCTTATATCCCTAACTGGAAAGAGGCTTTAAAGGTCAAAAAATATTTCAGTAACAGGAAATGACTACAGGATTCTAAAATGAATGTGAAAATATAAACAATCCCTCTATCTACCTATATTAAAAAAAAAATTTATTGAATTATGATTTACCTTCCCGTCTTTTGATCAATGCTGACACATCTTGTGTTAAAAATTAAAAAAAGCATTCTTCCTGAAGCAATTTGAGGAAACTGTAAGCATAACATAACTCTTAGTAGTTGCCTATTGTGTGTTATGACCTTAAGAGCCTTAAAATCTTCAGTCTCCACCTCTACATAGTATTGTGAGTTAAGGCAATGTGTCTCTAAATTAAATGTCTCTGTTTAAAATGCAAACCTATTCTCCCTCAGGACCCTTGAAGTAGAACTGTATTGAGTCATCATCAACCATTTTACTGTCATAATAAAATTAGGTTTTTTTTTCAGATTTTTCGTGAAATTCCCAAAGAAATGAGAATAAGGGAGGTAAGTTGTTTTAAACTGTGCTCCCAGCCTCCTAGCAGTATGAATTTTATAATTTTACAAATATTACTTCACATACTTTTGATCAGTGCAAGACAGGTAGACAGAATGGTCTAGAGAACAAGCCATGTAGTGTTAAGATTTGGAGGTTGGAGATGGGGCCCTGAACAACCAAAAGGCAAGATAATTTTAATAGATAATAAGTACAAAGAATTTACTCTTTGCCAGGCACTATTCTAAGCACCTTTCAAAAGTCCGAGGAGGCAGGTACAATCATCATTCCCATTTTACAGATGAGGAAACTGAAGGGAGGAGGGGCTAAGTGATCTGCCTAGGGTCACACAACTAGCAGCTGGCAGGGCTGAGATTTAAACTTGAATATCTGGACTCTGGTAGTCCTGCTTTTAATCAGTATACACTACTTTCTGCATGTAACATAAAAGCCAAAAGGACCCTGAGTGATGGGTGGGAAGGCAGTTGGGAGACGATGATCAACCTGACTACTTGACGTCTTTCCTAGGGCTAGTCTTGAATTGGAATCAGGCCAGCATGCCCATTTTCCCTTTTAAACATCTTTCCCCAAAGGTATCCTGTATATCAAACTAAGCTCTCTATAGAATGAGTAAGACAGTACATATTTTGGGGTTTTCTGAGGCACTGGACCTGGATTCTGAGTACTTACAGCAACTCACTCTGTTCCCTTCTTCCTTATAAAATGAATCAGGGTAATAATAATACGTGCCTTGTTCATTAAGTTTGTGAGGCTTGATTTAGGGAAAGTGCGTATGTATGTATGTGTCATTTTCCAAATTAATAAGTGCTATATAACTATTGTTATTCAAGGCATTGTTATTCAAGGTATCTGTGAGCACCTTGAAGGCAGGGATGTCCTCATATAGATCACTACATTGCCAGTACGTAGTACAAGTGACTGGAACTTATTAGACTCAGCAAATGTTTGAAACTGAATGAATTAATGAACACTGAACATAAGCATATGTATAATTTCTAAATACCAATTTAGATTTATTCTCTAAATACCAAGAGAAATTGCTTTCAGTTGTTACCTTCGGGGGGTGAGATGCACTTTTCCACCAAAGTGCTAGGATTGTCACTTTCATTGGTGCTACACTGGGACCCCACTTGCAAACAAATCCTCTCGTTCAGAGGCACTTCTTTTGAACGATGAGTTTCTGGAGCGATTTTCTAAGGTTAAGAAATAAAAATAGGCATTGCTATAGCAAACACACAGAAATAGACTTATATAATAAAACATCAGCATGTCCATATGTGCAAAAAATGGAAAGTTATTCAATGGTATAGATGAGTCATGTCAACTTGGGGTGATTTTGCTCCCCACCCCTCCCTGAGAGACATTTGGTAATGTCTAAGAATACTTTTGGTTGTCATAACTTGAAGAGGGCTGTTACTAGCATTTAGTGGGTAAAGGTCAAGGATACTGCCAAACATGCTACAATGCACAGGACACCCTTCCCTTCCCCCAACAAGAATTACTCTGTGTCAAATGTTGGTGGGGCCACCACGGAGAAATCTTGGTATAAAGACAACTTCTGACATTTTAGATATAGAAACATCATGACATTTACTTATAAACCTACCATACTAAAATTTTCAACTGTCTAAAAGCAATTCTAAAGGAAACACAATAAGATTATCACAATTCGATTCCAAGCAGACACCGTATGCCATCAAGATCAAGGTAAATGGGACTGTTTTAAGAATCCAGTGATCCTAGTCACCTCTGAGGAGAGGAAGTAAAGAAGGGGGACCTGAGGGTCAAAGAAAGACTTTTAATTAAACATCTTCCTCTACTCTTTGACCATTTTGACTATCTCACATACACATATACATTTTAAGGGTTGCTATATGCACTGAGTATACCGCACTCTTATTCTGAAAAGTAGATAAGCTTTGTGAAACCACAGAAAGCCAACTTATAGACAGCATACAGACATAAATAAAAAATCTGGTCATTATGATTTAGAATAATGAGATTAAAGGGCTCTTCAGGAAATAAACATTTCCCAAGGTGATAGAGTTGAAATAATTAGGAATGGAACTGCTTTTAATCAGAACTCCAAGGAGTTTCCTGTTTTGCAATAGTTTCTGACTCAAGTTGGAGACAGTATTTCCTTTTATATATGTGCTGATGGTCATAAAGAGGAAAATTTGTCAGTTATCTCTATTTACCACCCTAAGGGGCTGCTCTGCCATTTTACATGCATGTTGCCAGCTGAACATGAAGGCAACTGTGAGATACTCCTAAAACCAGGACATAAAGATGCCCTCTGCAAGGTAGCTAGCAAGTCAAGAATTCATGAATCATAGCAAAGACATGAAAAAAAAAATCACATTACAGAGGCTGAACAGCTCTTAGGCCTGAGCATGACAGCACTCTGAAAAGGAAATTAGTTGGTAAGCCCTGGAAGAAAAGGAAAAAAAGTCTGTGAGCAAAATTCTGGATGAGAGACAAAAGAGAGTGATTTGCTCCATGGACATTGATTATTTCTGTCCCACCAACAAAGCTATGTGTACTCTCAGTGAGGCCTCCAGCTATTCTTAGCCAAGTACATCTTCACAACTAATTCCTGATTCCTTGCCAAGAAACCTACGTATTATTTGGCTTTCCATACAGTTGCTGTTTATAGGAACAAAACACACCAGTTAGGCTGACAGAAGGCTTTCTAGAATATTTCATTTTTATAGTTTTCATGGAAAAGTAAGAAAGTGCCCCTTGAGAGGTGAATATGTGCTGAAGAAATGAGGTTTCTCAGCCTGTGAAGTTGAAGACCAGCCCCAGGATCATGGTAAAAGTGGCAGGAGAGCTCCAAATACAAATTCCACCAACCTCACAATTTTATTAAGTACAAGTCCTACACAGTAAGTCCTCACTTAACATCATCAGTAGGTTCTGTGACTTTAAGTGAAATGAAATATAACAAAACCAATTTTACCAAAGGCTAATTGATATAAACAATTAGTTTAGTTCCTATGGTATCTCATCCACATTATGACAAAATGACATTAAATGAAAGGATGGAATTCCCAGACTTGTTGTGTACCCTAGAAGGAGCCACTCTGACCCAAGGATCCTTGATAATTCTTCTTTGGAAGTTGCATTTGCCCTGTGAGGACACGAGGGGCGAAAATGTATGGTCAAATGCTATAAGTTAGAATCACCATAAAAAAAATCTCAGTTCTCTTATTATATTAGATATTGATCCAGTGAGAGGGCTGAGGAGTTTTATTACACACATATTTTGATTATAATGAAATTATTTTAATTAAAAAAAAATTTTGTACCTAAATTTGAACCTTATGTTTTGGGCATTAGAATAATAAAATGACTTAGCAAAGAGACAATAGGGGAAAATACAGAATCATTTATTAAAATCTCTTTCAAAGCTCAAGGTAACTAATACTAAATTGGCATGAATAAAGTAGAAATCCTAATTGTCAATGACTGCCAAGTCAAGCACACCTCCCTCTATCAGACAAGGAGCTAAAGCCCTCCCAGCAGATCTTGATGAGATATATATAATGGCTCCCATGTGACTTTCAGCTATGATGACTCATTCCATTGGTAGCTAACTGATGACATTATGCTCCACCCCTCAGGGAATCTGGCCTCCTTTGAAAATTTATCAATAACCAAGGCCAGAGCTCTGAACTGATCCCTCCCCCTCAGGAACAATGTTCATTTGGCTGGATTGAACCCTTCTCAGTTGCAGATTCCTTTCTCAGAAGTAACAGAGTGCCAGCTTCAGCTCTACCTCTTTGGATGCCTAGACAGAACAACCTTTTAATTTATTCACTTGGTGAGACTTGCCTATGTCTTGGATGAAACATATCTAAAAATCTAATGCCAGATCCTTCTTCTATTTAGGTTGGGAAACTATTACAGATTACTAAAACAGTGGTGGAAGACAGCAAATTAAGATAATTTTTTATTTTTAAAAAATCATCTATGAATCCTTGACTCGTTGTAATGGTCCTCGAAACTCAAAATTGAAAATGACCTCAACGCTTTATCTCATTTAGCAATCTGAGAACATTAGATGTTCACATAAGTCCCTTAACACATACAAACGATCATAATGCTACTTCTTCAATATGCTTCAAAGGATACATGCATCCCAGTTTTGTCTGGTGATGTTAATGCTGTGTCCAAAGGACAGAAAGAGGAAAGGAAAATCATTTCCGCCATTCATTCTCAGCCTCAAGATTGTAAACTTCAAAAGATCCAGACAGGAAATCTCCCAGCACTTATTTATCACAACTGCAGTATTGATAGCCATGAATGCTGTCAAATAGCAGGGATAAAAATGGCTTTAAGCAGAAGTCACCCTTTATGGTCTCTTCAGAGGCAAAATGGAGGAAACAAGATTAAACGACAATATTAGGTTGCACCATAAGTATAACCTATAAAAGTAACAATCGCATTTGTAAAGATCTATGCACTCCAATATTCATGGCGGCACAATTTACAATAGCCAAGATACGGAAGCAACCTAAATACCCATCAACGGACGATTGGATAAAGAAATTATGGTTCATATATACAAGGGAATATTACTCGGCCATTAGAAAAATGAAATCCTACCATTTGCAACGACATGGATGGACCTAGAGGTTATTATGCTGAGTGAAATAAGTCAAACAGAGGATGATAAATACCATATGATTCCACTTATATGCGGAATCTAAGGAACAAGAACAAACTAATCAAAAACAGAGTCAGAAATATAGTGGACAATTTGGTGACACACAGAGGGCGGGGTTTGGGGGGCTGGGAGAATGGGGTGAAGGGTTAAAGAAGTACAAATCAGTAGTTGATAGTTGATCACGGGGATGGGGAGCACGGCAGAGGGAATGCAGTTAGCATTAATATGTTGGCTAAGTGGAAAGCCAGGGGAGGGAGGAAGCAATTGGGGGGGGGATCGTTTTATGAACTATATGGATGTCTAAACAATGTACTGTATACTTGAAACTAATTTAAATAAATAAAAATTTTTAAAAATTGCCAATCGCTTCTGGTTCAAACTAACAATAATAATAATAATAATAAGAGTTAACAACTATTGGATACTAACTCCATATCATGTGTATTACAAATATTGTCTCCTTTTAATACACATCCCCTTCATGTAAAGTAGGTACAGGTGACCCTTGAACATAAGGATTGGGGGCACTAAATCCTCATGTAACTTTTGACCTATAGTTGACCCTTTGAATATACGGATTCAACCAACCACGGGTCAAAAACAGTATTTTCGATTCACAGTTGGGAAACCACTGTTGGGAATGAGAAAATACTGTTTTTCATCAGCGATTGGTTGAATCTGCAGATACTAAACTGGCACATACCAAGAGTCAACCATATTTATTGAAAAAATTCACGTATAAGCGAGCCTGTGCAGTTCGAACCCATGTTGTTCAAGGGTCATCTTTACTGTTATTAGATAATACCTGCCAGCCTTTTACAAACAAGGAAATGGAGGCTCAGAGAGGTTAAGTGACTTGTCTAAGATCACATAGCTTGAAAAGGGACGAGACAAAATTTCAAATCCAATTCTGATTTCACTACCTCCTAAAGTTACTTTTAAGTTTAAATTTCTGTAAGTATACTGAGGCATTAACCCTGTTTCTAAACTAAAATATCATGTCTACCTGACTGATCCTTAAGCATGGTTGACCTGTCAGAATAAAAGGTGACCTCCCCTCGGGGTTTCAATTAGATACTTAGGGAGACTTAAGGGTCTTTCCTGGAATTTCTCAAGACTGAACTACAAAAAGTTGCTACTAACACTCCAAATGCTTAAAGCCCTTCCTTAGGAACAAGAGGAAGCCAACATTGTGAAAAGGGGAACTTGACTACTAGTTTCACATGGGAGAAGTATTACAGGCTTCCCCATTTAGAAGACCTCTTTTACAATGTACATGCTTTTGACTCAATTCTTTATCAATTAACACCTAAACCTTAATTAACACCTTAGCAAGAAAAGGGCCAAGAAGGCAGATTAGCAAATTTCCCTCCAGTGAAAGAGCTTGTTCTATCCTTACTTTATTAAGCCTTCACATACATTATTTTTCTGTGTCTCAGCAAGCCAGGGGAGTAAAGCCACACTTTACACACAAGGAAATTGAGGCTCAGAGAGGCCTTTTCAATCTAAGTAATTTACTCCAGGCCGCTGAGCTAGCTGAGTGGCACACCAGCTAGAATCTAATTCTCCTTAGACTCTTCCTGCCACTTAGCTACTTGAACATGGTGATTCACATTCACTGCTAATAACAATTTCTCACTTGGCTCCCTCAAAATCCTGGAAAAAGTCAACCCCAAACACTCCCCCTCCCTCACACACCCCCACTGAAAGAAGGTATAAAGATATGAGACAGATCTGAACAGATGTTACATACTTTGAAGAACCTGTCAATTAGAAGGGGCTACAAACCAATAAAGCCCAAGAGAAAATTCCATTGAATAAGATTATCATAAAGAACCCAAAATTATCCAATCTTGTTAACAAAAATTCACTTAAATCAGTCGACTATATCTCACTGGAAAGGCTGAAAGTTCCTCTCATTTTTCCTCAGGCATCAGGAAACCTAGTCGACCTCACCAACATCTAATTTTTTTTTCACCTTCCATATGGCCATTTGCTTTGAATCACATACTTCTTGCCTATCTGTGCATGTGATTAGCAAGATGGTGAATGTGAACATTCCCTGAGAAACTGAAAGTGTTACATAGATACAAGGTGACAGAGGGGAATACAGGAACCAATTTAACATAATTATTTGTTGAGTGCCTAATAAATAAAGACATCTAGTATTTCCTATCAGAGAATCTCAATTACATTTTATTATCACATAATTAGCAATTATTTTCAAATGTGCAATTTTGTCAACAGTTGTTTCTGTAATTTTCCTAGTTAAAATGTGGACACAGCCCTCAAATAAAATTTTTACTTTGAAGTAAGATTAGAATTTAGCTTATTCTTGGCTTCAATTCATAGTGTTCCCTTTACCTCATCAATGCCATATGTTCTAGAAAACTTACCTTATCCTGCTTATTGCCAAAATGACTGAAATACCACAGACTACAATTCGGGCTGGCTCTCTCAGGAGGATTCCATGTCCATATTACTGTGCAGAGGTTTTCAACAGAAACACTCAAATTCGTCACTGGTGGCTGAGTTTCTGTTCAAAGCACAAGAAATAAGTTTATCATCAGCCAGTGTTTTTAGTGATTCACTTAATTCATTCCTCTAAGTCCTAGAGGCCAAAAATAAGAACACTGAGTAAAAATATCAAACATTTATTTACACTCCACATATTCATCCATTGAATCCTCACAACTACCCAAGGGTAGTAAATGGGCGAGCTGGGATGCAAACCCAGAAAGTGTGGCTCCAAGGCCACATTCTTAACTACTTGGTATACTGTGAACACAGAGAAGAGTATATTCTTACATTGCTAAGTTTTCTTGCTGCAGGAATTTGGGGGCCCCTACACTTGGGACCCACTTCTCCATCAATACTGATATTTCTATCTCAGTAGTTCTGCCAGTGAGCTAAAGCAGCTCATTGCTAATCATGCTTGCTAACATGATCTAGTAATCGTTTTTATAACTTTTCTTAAAAAGTACTGAGAAAGAGATTTAACAGCCCTTGCTGCTCCCCTCAGGTCTGACACTAAACAACTAGAATTGTAGCTTTGACTAATCTGAAGAAGGAGGAAAAGAAGAGAAACTGTGAACCAGTACCTTAAAAATGTTTCATTTGGAGAAAACCCCGCACTGTCTCCACCAAATATTTACTGACTATTATTTTGGACCCAGCTCTAAGATCAGGGAAAAGAGTTCTACCACTTCTGCCAAATACAGGGAAATACATTGGGGCATGGGAGAGAAAATATTTCAAACTTTTCTGAAAACTTCTCCTGAGACCAGGACTACCAAAACCATCCCCCAGACACTAGGTGAGGGGTGTATAGAATGCTCTGTCCTATCTTTGCAACTTTTCCGTAAATAGAAAATTATTCTAAAATAAAGTTTATTAAACTAATTTTAACCCCACCCCAAATTGTCTAATGTGGCAAACTTAATCATTATTAATTATTTGAGGACAACAGTTATATTATCAGTCGATAGAGTTATATTTTATACTCTATGACAACACTTTGGAGTGCACTGGGCTTCTTACATAATCTGAAATACACCATTTCCTTTCTCTTTAACTGAACAGAAAAATTCCATGTATCCCAAAATTATCAACCCCACAGGCCTATGTAGTTGGGATTTCCCCCAACAGTTAGCTTTATACATAGAAGCCTGCAAAAGCCCTTGACTCTCAATATTAATTCCCTCTGTCCTGACTACTACCATTAGCTTTTCTGTAAGATAGATCAGAGGCCAAGGTGTGAGGAGGAACAGCCTACAGCAGACCAAGTCCTTGTGGAAATAAGGAATTCCAATTGCACTGCATTCAAACCCAGCTAGTGCCAGGGAGCACCAATGGCTCAGGCAACAGTGCTAGTGTTAGAGTGTACAGCTATTCTGTTTTGGCCTTTCTAACATCACATCAATGATGTTTTTGAAAACAAATCATTTGTCAGGTATAGAGCCTCTAATAAAAACCTGCTCCTACTGAAGACTACTATCTACTTTAGGATTATCTACCTTATTCTGCCGGTTCCAGAACCACAATGCAGCAAACTTCCTAACACTACCTTCCCACCTACCTCCCACTCCCACATAAAACTTGAAGCCATGCTAATAAAATATTACCAATTTATGGTTCACGTAAATCAGACCCCAATTTTCAAGGTAATTTAAGACCTTTCTAAGTCTATTTTTTAACCTCAGTGTTTTAATAGAACAGTAGCCTGCCCTGTTTCCAATCTTGCAAATAGGTTTAATTTTTTCTCCATCTGTTTTGAAGTATTCTTTAGTCAGATCTTCTCATTGTTTTTGCATTTTAGGCTCCTTGTGGCTATCTGTCAACCTTTTTTTCCCACCTAATGGTTCCTTCTATTCCTCTTGAGATTTTTCTACTTCCTATACTTTAACACACACACACACACACACACACACACACTGAAACTTTAAATACAATGTCCAAATGTTTAAATATATATGAATACGTGTGTATGTGTGTATAATACATCCAGACATCTACATAAATAAGTGAAGACTGTGCTTTTCATAAAGGTCTCTAACAGCTGCCCCAGTATAGTGCAGTGACCAAGAACATGGACTCTGGAGCCAAACTGCCTGAGTTCATATGCCAGCTCTGCTACTTACTAGCTGGCAAGTTATTTAACCTCTATATGCCTCAGTGCTCTCATCTATAACATGAGGGTGATCATAATAACCTAACAATTCTTATGAATATTACATAAGTTAATACAGATAAAATGCTCAGAACAGTGCCTGACACAGAGCAAGTGCAAGATAAATGTTAGCTAGCTGCTTTCTTTCTTTTTTAAGAGACAAAACAGTTCTAAAAAACTGCTTTGGTTTTCTCTAGAAGTAATATGTGCCTGTGGCCTTTGAGACAGAATATGTATCTCTTGTGCCTGGTAAGCTTTCCTTAGGCATCTAATTTCACCTATTTCTTAGAGGTTGATCATCGACTTCAGAAAGTGAAATGGGAAGGAGAGAGGGACTCAAATAGCTCCCCTGACTGAACTTCAAACCTCAAGCGAGTCTGTATGGTCATCTAGCACAATATCCTATTCTAATTAGAAATCAACATGATCAAGGCTCATTCAAATAATAAGGCATGTTGCTTAGCTAATAGTTTTGCATGCATGTTTTGGGAAAAGTTAAGGAAATCACAAGAATCACATATGAGTAAGCCATCTCCTTCCCTTACATCTACTCAGTCATCAACCTCTGTGCATTTTTTCTTGCAACTGTCATCAATCACACTAATGTGCTCTGCTTGGCCCTGGTAAGCAGACAGACACCAGTAATTCATTGTCCAAGACAGGAAACATTCACAGCACATCTTTCTAATGGACACCTTCACACCTAGATTCAGGCGTAGCTTCCCACTCCAGCGATTCCCCTCACCCTATCAAATCTCCCTGATGCTTCTCCTCCAGTGTCATTTCCCTCATGCTTCCCCTTGCTCAAAACCTATAAGAGCAAATGAAGCTCTTCTGCTTGGACTGACTTTGCGGATGCGCCCTCCTGCCAAGCTACATTCTCTGTTGACCACAAAAGAACACTCTAACCCTCTCACTTCAAGGTCTCTGCTCCTGCTTCCTCAACCACCACCCTCGCCCCAGCTATGAGAATAACTTCTCCTCCACCTATTCAAATTCCACTCACCCTAAAGATCTAGCTCAAGTTTTACCTCTTCCATGAAAATACCAGCCCTTTTGTTTCCCCTCTCCTGAATGCCTATAGTACTTATTGTTTGGACCACACAGTCTGGCAAATATAAAGTGAGCCTCCAAGCTATGATCGTTCGTTTCTTAACAAATGGCCTGTACATACTTTCATGGGTCTCAACCAGTCCTGCCCTGCTACTCTGGGAGGCTCCCAGCTCCTCTCTCAATCGAGGACTTCCCTCACTTCTAATCAGATAGGCACTGAATACAGCGGTAAGGGCCTGGTTTATGAAATCAGGCTGCCCAGGTTAGAAGCCTGGCTCCTCTAGTCTACTAGCTATGAGACTTCAAGCAAGGCTCTTAGCCTCACTGTGCCTCAGCTTCCTCATATACAAAATGGAACTAATAACAGCACCTACAGGATAGATTTTATTTAAAGATTAGAGTACAAGGGGAAAAAACTTAGAACACTGCTTGGCATAGAGTAAACACTACATAAATGCTAATTGGTGTTACTAAGACATACCACAATGTGGATTACCAACCTAACCAGAGTAAACTAAGCTGGTAACCTAATCATTTTATAAATTCTCAGATTAGAGCTAGAAGAGCCCTTAGAATTTACAGAGTTCGACCTCCTGCTTTCAGAAATGAGAAAACTGCTGTACAAGGGAGGGGAAATGATTAACTCAGAGTCTCACAGCTGGAAACGTGAGACCGCTAAAACTCAAATCCCTTGACTGTTTTTTTTTTCTTCTCCATGCCTCAATGCAATTCTATCAATATTTCTAATAGGAAAAAGTTTCCGTATTCTAAGTAACCAAGCTATCAATGAACCTCTGTGACAAAACTGAGTAAGTTAGAGGTTGCAAGTATTATCTAGAAGGCCAGCTGTTGTTTCAGGTGTGTGGGAGTCTCTAGGAGGGAGGGTGCTGGAGCAGCACTGTGATAATCAGGAGACTAATGAGATGGGTGACCCTAGACAAGTCCTTTCCCTTCTCTGGACAACAGTTTCCCCAAATTATTATGGGAATTGTATCTCCCCCACTAAACTAAAGGCACCATGGAGACAAGAATGATGCTGTAACATGTTCAGGTTCTAAATGAACCTACAGAGCCTTGCTCAGTACTAAATAAAGCAGACATTTGAATTATTGACTGACAAACTTCAAACCTCCTTCAGGTCTCAACTCAAATGCCAACTTTTCAGTGAGGTCTTCCCTTTTTGCAATGGCAAACCCCTTCCTGGCTTTGTTTTTCTCCACAGTACATACGTAGGGCCATCTGACACATCTTATATTTTACTTTTTTTACCCCTGTCTGACTCTGCCAATAGCAAGTAAACTCCACAGGGCAGGGAGTTTATCAGTTTTGCTCACTGCTGCATCCTCAGCCCCTAGAACACTGACTGACACAGAGCAGAATCCGCATACCTTTTGTTGACTGAATCATTAGTGGACGTCAAGGTTTCCTAAGCAGCATTTCAACTTGGGTTTCAAAGCACAGCACGCTAATGAAGTGCTATGATCAAATTGTGGGTGTTTGTGTCAATGTGATAAAAATCTATCAAATTTGGAGCTCCTATCATCGCCCAAAATGTCCAGAAGGCCACTCATGGCAGGAATTGTCCGCGAGGAAGTCATTAGCCCAACTTTTCACAGTAACTCTGACTGGCTAAATAAAAGTTGACACACACGGTGAGGGGTATACGCGATGTCTCTGTACTTTCTTTGCAAGGTTTCTGTAAATCGAAAATTATTCCAAAATAAAAGGGGGGGGGGCATCATTCTGGATGCTACTCTGGGTTTCCCAACGGATTTCTTAGATGCCAGAGGAGGCCGTGATCGTCATGTCCTTATTCTATGAGTACTAGGCTCTTTAGAGTTTCCCTTCACTCCCACCCCTTCACTGGGCCAGGCTTGATCAGACCTCAGTCACTGCTCCCACTGGCTCCTAGCCCCTCATCTCCTCCTGGACTCACTGGCCACATTCCAGGTCCCAACCAGCACCCACCCCCGACTCTGTGGGCATGTTTCGGTCCGGCGCCCCAGCTCCAGGTTCCTTGAATCTTCCCTTCCGCGCAAGGGAAGTACGCGGCTAGTCGTCCTCCTGCGGCGCCGCCGCCGCCACCACCCAGGATCCAGGAAAGCCCCGCCGCTCCTGGGTCCCCCACTTCGAACCGGGCTCCGGAGGCTGCCGTCGCCGAGCGCTGGGCGTCGAGAAAACAGCTTCCGACACCCACCTCTGCCGCGGCCCTCGGCCTCGCGGAACCCTTACTCGCCTCTCGGCCGAACCCCCACCGCCCCTCGGCTGCCGCCCCTGAGCCCGAGGGTCTGCACTCACCCTTGGGCGCCGCGTCTCCTTCACTGGTGGCGCAAAACAGCAGCGCCCACAGTCCGAAGAGCCCCACCGGCAGCTCCATGCAGCCCCTTTTTGTGTCGGAGCTCGGCGGGCGGTGGCAGCCTCGCCAGTCTCCGCCTTCTTAGCTCCTGCTCCCACTTCCCGGCTCCGGCGCCCTGGAGACTGGGGGCCGGCGTAGACGGGAAGGGCCGCCCCGCCCACTGGCCGCAGGTAACCCGAGTGGGCGAGCGCGGGCGGGGGCGTGGTGCCGGGGCTCCCGGCCTCCCTGTCGGACACCTGGCCCAGCCGCCCCTGGCTCCTCCCGAATCTCTTCAAGGGCTAAACAGAACTTCCTCGGCCACGTCGCGGCCCAGCCAAGCGCCTGCGGGTCCCCGCCCCGGCCCCAGTTGTTGCCGGGTACCGACTTGCGGACCTCGGGGGTGCCAAGGGCTGTGTGCCCTACTGGGCACCGGAGCAGGGACATCTACGGGAAAGAGCCTTGGCCTGGGAGTCTGGAGACATGGTTCCCAATCATTGACCTCTGAGCCCTTGTTGCCTAAACTGTGACTTTAGGCTTAGCAATCCCAGATGGACCTCGCAGGGTGGATTTGGAAGACTATGGAGGGGACTTGGCAGGAGTGGCTTTGTGAAAAAGACGAGAGATGTATTTGAATAATACGTAATGTAGAGGGGAGAGGGACACAACTCTATATATGAGGGACCGTGCCTTACTATGTACTTGTATTTTTAAAGGCACACAACTAACTTTCCACATATTTCTTTTTTGTGAGTATACATTGACAGGATGGAAAATGTATCAGAAGGATACCTACACATTGGTCATTCAGGCTGGGGATGGAGGTAAAACGGGAACACTTATTAGTTTCTTATTGCTGCTGTAACGAATTACCATGAATTTAGTGACTTCACACAATTTTATTACATTAGAGTTCCGGAGGCCAGAAGTCAGAAGGCTAAAATCCAGGTGTGGGCAGAGCTGCCTTCTTTCTGGAGGTTCTAAGGGAGAATTTGTTTCTTTGCCTTTTCTAGCTTCTAGAAATTGTCCCACATTCCTTGGCTCGTTGCTATACCACTCAGACTTATACTTCCCTTGTCAAATCTCCTTCTCTGACTCTAACCCTCCCGCCTCCATTTTTTTATTTATAAAAACCCTTGTGATTGGGTTGGACCTACCAGGTAGTCTATGATAATCTCCCCATCTCAAAATCCTTGATTTAATCATATCTGCAAAGTCTCTTTTGCCATGCAAGGTAACATATTCACAACTGTCTGGTATTAGTGCATGGACATCATGTGTGTGTGTGTGGGAGGGGGCATTAGTCTGTCACCAACCCCAAAAAGAATCGTGTCTGGATGGATGATAAGGCCCACTAGCTGAGGTATATTTTGGAAGAATCTGTTGCAAAGACTATAACTATAAAAATGCTGATAATATATCTAGTCTAGACCTTCCCCAAAGTGCATAAGGATGTTTAATCTATTCAAAACTAAGGCCTTGCTCTTGTAATTAAGTCCCTCAAATTTAATAAATATTGTCCTTCCAGTAACTGTGGTAGACAGTCCTTAAAAGGTGCAGCTAGTGCAAAGGGCTATAATAAAGGCAAGAACAAGGAACTGTATGGGACACAAAGAAGGGACACCTTATGGGAGGGATAAGGCAAGGGAGGCTTCCAGGGGGCAGGCCTGCCTGTGCTGAATCTTGAGATATTGAGTCCTGCAGTTCAAGGTTCAGAATAAATCCTTGCCTGCACATATTATTGAACAAAATAATGTTTATGAAAACACTTTGTAAACTATCAAAGCCTGTATAACTGAGAGATTATTTCCCAGTTATTTCTTATACTGTAATTTCTAAATCCCCTTGCAAATAGACCAACCACTCTCTAACTTAATGCCCCTCCCCCATCACCACATACGTGCACTTATTGACATTTGCCATAAACATTATACAATAAGTTTATAATAATGTTTCCAAAATGATTATGTCACCTGCCTTTAAGAAGTCTCCAGTTGGGACAGAAGCCCCTGAGGACTGGCTGAGTGCTTTTGAGGATATTGTCTTAATAGACTGAGAGAGTGCTTGATGAAAGAACAGTAATGGCAGCAAATTATTAGGAAAATAGGGTCACGACTTGTCATTAGCCTCTAGAAAAGACCCTGAGAATTTGAACATTGTGAACAAAAAGACAAAAGGCAGTGATGTGGCCGCAAGAGTTCTGGCCTGTTGTCTGTAAGACTGTTGTAGTCAGTTGCACTTCCTTTTGACCCTAAACATAAAGCAACATGTAAAAAAAAATTTTTGAAGGAGGTAGTGAGGGTTCAGAATGCTATTTCTTGAACTTTTGTTTGTAATTTCTGTGTATGTTTACTCAAAGAACATCTCGGATGAAATTAGGCCACTGTTCTTGTCTGCAGGAAAATGAAAATAAATGGAAGGCTTTCCAGGAACTGCAATAAACAGAGCTTTCATTTTGCCTGTGTATAATCAAAGTCATGATGAGTTAACATCAAGTTTAGCTTTAACCCTTAATTCATGGAGCCCTATAACTCTATGGATGTGAGACTGCCGATACCCTTTATTTGTGGTTTGTTCTGAGGTGGCTAGAGTTCTAGGGTGACCTGTCTATCTCAGCCACTCCAGTTGGCTTTTTTGATCTTTCCCCTACTCACTAAGGCTTTCTCCTTTTGTATAAGTAAAGTTAGAAAAGGGCAAAAACCAGAAAATATCTGGGAAGAGAGGATAATGTTCCTCTTTCTGAAATCAGGTCTTCTTCTAAACAGTTAGAAACATCCTCCTGAGTTCATAAAGGACACAGACACCAGCATAAACCGAGGGCTTAGCTAAGATTTTTGTCTCTTTAGGCAAAAATCTCACAAAGTGTCCTCTACCTTTTACTAAGCAAAACGTAAACAGATCCTCACCACCACTGCAAAGAAAAAAAGGAAGTAGCAAATAGGGAATTTCCCTCCTTCTGACACTAGAGCAATGGTTCCCAAACAGGGGTGATTTTTCCTCCTCGGGGGGCAATGGGCAACGTCTGGAGATATTTTCGGTGGTCATGATTTGGGGTGATGGGTGTGCTACTGGCATCTAGTACATAGAGGCCAGGGAGGCTGCTAAATGTCCTACTATACACAGGACAGTCCCCCACAACAAAGACTTATTCAACTCAAAATGACAATAGTGCCAAAGTTGAGAAACCCTGAGGTAATATACTCTTTGTTATCTTTTGTCCTTCACCCCTACCCACCCACTGTCCTCATACCCACTAAAAATTCTTGAAAGGGTAGTGCTAAAAGTACTTATTCTTGACTTCTCCTTTTCATGTATCTAGTGCTTGTAGTTTCTCTACCAGCTAGCTATGCAGTCACTTATGTCATAAGATCTATTCTCTACCCTCCTCACCTTCACTGTTCTACTCAGGTCCTTATCACATTTCTCCTTATACTATCAAAACGACCTTCAAATCCACCCTCCAAGAGACAGATCTTCCCAATGTGCACATTTGATCGTTTCACATGTTTCCCCTCAAATGCCACAAAAAGAAGCCCCACTCCTTTGCCTGCAAGATTGCTTCTTCATGACAGATTCCTCTAACTTTTCCCAGCTTCATCTCCAGCCAAGCTGTCCAAGTCACTCAGAGCTCTGACTCTCCTAGCCAACTGGCATCTTTAGGCTTAATGTCCCTTGTAGGCAGTTTTGTTTGACTCACATCATGTTTAAATTTATTTGTATTTAGATGACAAAAATGAAAAAAAAATCACAGATTTTGCATAACAACTCAAATTTCCAGCTTTTCTTAAGAAATTAGAAGTTCTGGTAACATTAGACCTGCGTTCCATTGTGCCAACAATCAGCAGGCACTAAGCAGGGGCAACCACCTTAACAGGACATGTGCTCCCTGGCCAGGCCTGCTCCCTTCACTTATTATTTTCCTGGCCCCTGTTTGTCACCTCTGATATTTTCTCACTCCAAACCTTTACTCTTGCTGTTCTCTTTGCCCAGAAAGTTTTTTCATTCTTCAAATGTCACATTATTTTTGGCTTCTTTAACCCCCAAATGCAAAATTCTTTACTCCCTCCTATATGTACATTCATAACACTTGAAAAATTCCTCCACCATCACAAATTACACAGAGGTTTGTGTGCATGTTTATTTCTGCCACTGGATTCAGGCCCCTGGAGGCCAGAGACTCTGTTCAGGATGACTCCAGAATTTCCACATAGAGAAGCCAAGGGGCAGTAATCTGATTAGAAGGGACAACAACCAGGGGGCTTGTCTTGAAGCCATGTGTGTACAGCAAACGCACTGCTCTTACTTAGATTCTAAGTTTATTTAGGGCAGCTTGAGGGAAGACACTGTCTGGTACCACAGAGAAGATAAAGATGAATGTAACATGGTCAGTGACATACCATGCCCTCAATGTGCAGGTTTAATTGACTTGAATGAAGGTTCTTATTCTTCAGCAAGTGCTTTTCTTCTACAAATTCAGTGGTGCTCACTCAAGTGAGTGCTGTTTGCGCACGAGGCCGGTGACAGGACCCTTTGGGTTTAGCCTGAGGTGAAGTAGCGTGGTGCTGGGGTGTGCCTATCTGACCTCTACGTCTCCAAACTTTATAGCAGTTATTAAATTGAATCTTGAATTAAAAAAGATACTCCTCTGCTGAGAACTCTCCAACTGCCCCCAAGGCCCTGCCCTATTCCACATCCTCAGTTTCCTCTGCTTTCTGTTCTCCAGCCACACTGACTTTCTGTCCATTCTTTACACCAACCTGGTGCACTCCTGATTCAGGGCCTCTGTTCTGCCTATTTCCGCTGCTATTTGCTCCTCCCTCCAAGAGAACCACAGGTCTAACTCCCTCCCTTCATTCAGATCTCTCATGGAGGCCACCCTGGCCACTATACCAAAAATTGCAAGCCCCATCCACATTTACTCACTATCCCCCTTCCGGGGGGATTCCATCTCTCTGTACTTGAATGTAAGCTCCATAAGGGCAGGGAATTTTTTCTGATCTGTTCCCAGCTGTGTCCCCAGTATTCAAAACTGTCCCTGATACATAATACATACTCAATAAATATTTTAATGAATAAAGAAATTACCCTTTGCTTGGTGCTATGAGGGATATCAACAAACCGACCAACAAAAAGCAGCAGTTCTTATTGTTGCCCTTG